AAATCCGACACTATTTTAGATTTTATTAACACTGAAATAAAGCTTTTTAAACTGAAATTTTGACCATTATATTTGTCATCCTTTTTGTTCTAATGATCTCACTCCATCCATCCAGCTGGATCATGATGAGAAAAGGGAGAGAGTCCAGCACAGCACTTTGCTTACACAACCATGGTAGAAAAAAGCCTCAGTATGAACGCAGAAAAATTCACCTCCCTACAGCCTGTTACCAAGAGCTCCCAAATTGAGGACTTTTTGTGCACCACTAACAGCAGCAGCAGCTCATGACAATGAACCCAGAAAGATTACTGTATCACTGCCTGGAGAACACAGAACTGGGGGAAACACTGCAAACATCCCATTCAGACAGGAATTAGCACTCTTCTCACCTTTGATGCTTGTCGAAGCCATCGCAAATATTCAGTGAAGTTATCGAAACAAATGTAGTAGGTCTGGCTTTGAGGTCCAGAGGAGCTAAATGCTAAACAGTGCTGGTGCTTTTTCACTTCTTCCACCTACAGTAGAGACGCAAAACTGTTAGTGAACAAGAGTCAAAAGCCTCTTTGCAGAAGTCCCCAGGGCAAAGTTAAAGTGTGCCCAAGAGGAGCTCTTCAAGTAGAGTTTGACTAACCCTCTCAAGCACTCAAGCTGGATCTTGGCTGTCAAATATTCATGAAATCTACACAAGCAAGGAATGAGAACAGAAGGACGAAGGAACCAAAGGAGAAACACACCAAAAATGTCAACATTTTAAGACAGACTGAGCACCATAAAAGGTTTCCCAGTGAAACACATTTAAGGCTGTCTTTATACAGCCTAAAGAAGTACAATTTATACTCCTGGTTATTAAAAACAGGCTTAACAAAATGCTTCTCTTACAGCCCAATTAAATTCTTTGGCATTTCTCAACTTGCTAAAAAACACCCAGAATACATCATTCTGCTACCATACACGAGAAGTCCCACACAACTTATGGTCTCAATGTCTCAGCATCGCATTCTGGAAAGCCTTTGCAAACCAGGAAGTACAGAGTATTTATGGGGTTGAGGAAGAATATTTTTTAAGCGATAATTTAAAAAACACTTAGTTCTGTGCCAAACATCCTCCTCCCAAGCTTTGTCAGCAGAAGCCCTCAATACATTTTTCTCAGCTTGGTCCTCCTTTTCTTTTAAAATTTGTTGTCAACTTTTGCTTAACACTGTCTGCATGTTTTATATTACACGAGACATTTCTGTGCAAAAACAACTTAGAGATTCCATGTCAAGCAATTAAAAAAAAGGTACACAATCTTTTGTCTTTTTATATTTTAAAAAAAAAAAAAAATCAAAATCTTTTTCATCTCGAAGAGAAGGCTGATGGGGACCTGAATCCTGTCCTCTCCAGTGTGCTACAGCCAGGAATACAATTCACTGTCAGAGTTCACCCACTGCTGCTAAAAGAGGAAAATGTCTCTACTTCAGTACCTCCAGGGAAGAGTTGCAGAATCATGTGAAGAATCATGAAAAGAGATAGGAAAAACAGCTCCTAGAAGGGACTACTTTTCACATTCCTAGTATAGAACATTAATGAATCAACTTTAGCCTGCACATATAACATCGTGAAGCTTGTTTCTTTCCCAGTGACTCTTAAGAACCAAACTTATCAGTATGCAAGGTAAAAGAGCATTACTTCAGATGTAAATTCATCCTCAAGCTAATGATTCTCTTCCCATTACCTTGGCTAATCAAGCCAATAATAGTGTTCTGAAACACTATTTAGGCTGAAAGTAATGCTGTAATCTTACTGTCTTCACTGAAGTTTCACAGAATCACAGAATGGTTAAGATGGGAAGGGACCTCTGGAGGTCATCTGGTCCAACCCCCTTGCTCAAGCAGGGCCACCTACAGCTGTTTGACAAGGACTGTATCCAAATGGCTTTTGAATATCTCCAAGGAAGGAGACTCCACAACGTCTCTGGGCAACCTGTGCCAGTGCTCAGTCACCCTCACAGTGGGGGTGGGGGAAAAAAACAAATTTCCTTGTGTTCAGACTGGACCTCCTGTGTTTCCAATGTAATCAATCAGAAAAAAGTCCAGTTTCAGCTTTTCACAAGTAAAAATGTCTGTTGCTGTTAGCTTGTGTTAGACCACTACTCATACAATGCTGAACACCCAAGAAAAAACCAATGTTGAAAATAAGCCCATGCCCTTATTGGTTAATTTTCAGATCTTAGAGTAACCCAGCATGGATAAAAACTGGGTGAAGAGGCACGGTACAGGATCATACACAATACAGGTGCACGTATCCTTTGGCTGTGTACTATGGCACATAAAAAACATTTAACACTGCACACACGAAAAGGAAACTGAATGTGTTTCCCTTGCTTTTCTTTAGCATCTTAATCCAAATGTTGTGAATTGTTAAATATGACCGACCATAATCAAAAGTCATTTATATACTTTGACAACCCCATTTACAGAAACAAAGCTTTTGAGGGGCTAAGAATCATCATAATTGAATGCAATCTTCTCTGCATAAAGAGATAGGGTTTAAGCAAGCAAATACCTAAAATAAAATATCTTACTTTTCCACCAATTAAAGGGAGGACATGCATCTTTCCAGTCTGGCTTTCTTTTACTGATGAGACAATTAGGCATGTTCCACAAAGGATAGCTTGGCGTCTTGTCCATCTGTTGACTGGCAAATGTATTTTCCCTTTTCGAACATTGTACATTCCTGAGAGCTGAATCCGTTCCGAGCTGCCAATGCTGTGGGGCTTTCCTGAAATAGAAACAAAAGCATCCGCTTAATCACAGAAAATCTTTGCCTCTTTCACTCAAGTCATCCTGAGACTTTATCAGCAAGTTTTCAAGCTACAGACTGCAGTGCAACAAATGAAACACAGCTTCAAAACCATGCAAGCAGGTAATTTAGCATCAGCTTCAGTACAGGCTTATTTCATACGTGGAAGTACATGACAGGTTGGTATCATGGAGAGCAGACCACAGTCTTGCAGTACATGAAATAATCTGCAGTAGTCACAGAAGTACCAATTAATGTTACCAGTGTTCTCTATGGGATCTGGAAATCAAATGTTCATCCTCAACAGTAATTAATTGGTTACAGTTGAGTTCACATTGACTGTTTGCTAACTGCAAAAGGGGGTGATGTACTGCATGCTGACATGCACTTTTGCACTTTCATGCCTCTTCTGGGCATCCTTAAGGTCATGGTTTGAATAGCTTCAATAGCTTCCCAAAGAATACAGTTCCTACTCTCTCCAGCCCACCCTGTTCAGTCCAACCCCACAGCAGAGATAGTACACTCAGCCACAATGTAAACAGACGCAACCTAGATGGAACTCCTCAAACACCCCGCTTCAGTCTGAGTAGAGCTTTGGAAAGAGCAAAGTTCTTTTGTCTATATTGCAATGAATTCGCTATTTATAATAATTCAGATTATTAGCAAGACTACCAATTAGACCAAATCTGTTAAATGACTTTAAATGGCTCAGATTCTACTAATCTAATCTATTAATAAGATTCTACTCTATAGAAACCATCATTAACAACAACAACACAAAGACAAGCATCTCTCGTCTCTGCTCTTACAGGACCACATTTTTTAGGAGATAACAGGAAGAAGCACAATTTGCTCATTCTAATCTGAAGTATTTATCCACATCAAGTTACCCTATCAAACCTTAAACATCCCAGCCCAGATCTGAGTCATCCAAATATACTAAGTCTTCCGCAAACAGAGACGACAGATAGTCACGTTCAAGTTAAACCAGCTGACATTTCTGGAAGAATACAAGTGTTGTTGAAACTTTGGAAGAGAGCTCCCCCGGATAAATGAACCAAAGGCTACATTAATTCTAAGTAGCTTCCCCATCATGATAAAAGATAAATCACTCATTTTCCTACACTAATCTTTACCAAAATTCTTAAAAGTCAAAGAATTAATAACTAGTTAGGACTCCAGAAAAGCAGAGCTGATCCTGTCTAACCCCAATATTTCAGACCAGTGCCAATTAAACTGCAGCAGTGACCAGTGCTGCACACTATTATTCCAACTTGCTATTACTCCCGCTTGTATGACAGATCATTTTTCTCAATGAGTCTGTTCTTACCTTCAAATTATCTATGGGGAGATAGAAGACACCTACCACATGGCCTGCCCACTGCCATTCTCTCACCCCGCCTACCCTGTGCCAATTCTTGCCCTTATCTTTAAAAGCAGCCTTCCTGAATCTTCCCGCCAGTTTAATGAGCCAAGACTTGGCATAGCTACCCTCAAGCCTTGCTCTGCTCTAATAAACACTAGCATTCAGGCTACTGATGTCTGCCAGTTTGGATCTGCAGGAACATCATTGTTGCTTGAAGTTAAAAGACCGAAACGCCAATGCCCACAGGGTATTGGCATCTAATACAAAAACAGGTACCCCAAGAAAGCAGTAATTTCACTGCCAAGCAAATTCAAATCCAACAACAGAAGCTGTGGATAAACACTTCGCCCAACAGAATAGAGGGGAACAGGGGACATCCATTCTACGCAAAGCTACAGAAAGACTGATAGGGAATACAAGTGAGCAAAACAGAGCAACTCGGCCTTCACTAAACACAAAAGCTGAATCAAACTTTACATTTGGAATAGGAAAACTGTGGTTGCTAAAATAATTGGTAATTTACTTAGCTTGTACAGAACGATGGACTCCCTGCTGCAAAGCATTGATTAAAGAATTAACCACACACAGAAACAATAAAATCTCTGCAATGGAGTAAAAAGTGCCTGGTAAGTATTAATAGTATGGTTGTATAAGGAATAGTTGTCAGGGGTGTGGGCAATTTCACCTCAAAAATTACGTTTTATGGTCATCTTCTGGGGCCTGTTTCTGCCTGTATGTTCTCCAACTTCACTGGAAAAGCACAACCCACTGTTGATTGAACCCCTTAGGATTGCAAAGCACAGCCTCAATCCCTTGGGAAGCCAAGCTCATTTAGCATTTTGATATAGCTGAATGCAACTTTACCCATCCAGGAACAAAGGGCATAATTCACGCTTAATATGGACAGACTTGTGCCCTAGAAAACACCAAATCTGAGCAGTTCTTTGGGATTATGGTAGGTAACAAAGGGGATGAGCTCCTGCTAAAGTGCTGCGGCCAAGACGCTTGGCAGGAAACATGGCAGCATTGAGGAGCAATAGAGAAGTAACATTACCCTGCCTAGTCTAGTGGTAAACAACTACCACACTGGGTGCCCACACTTCACAAAGGGTGCTAAAAAATTAGTCTTCAGGAAAGTTGGGGGGAATCAGAAGCCTGAGAAAACTGCTTCCTAGGACCAGACTCTCTTGGACTAGCTACATGAAGTTAGGCACAGCCGAACCTGTAAAACTACTCAGAAGTCTCTAAAAGACATTTCAAGTTTCATATAAATTCACAGAGGTTGTAAGTCACAAGTCACAGTAACAATTAGTATCATCCATAAACGTTTAGTAGAAAAGCCAGAACAGAGGTATCATTAGAAGTATTCATGCTAGATATGAATGGTACTTTCTCTCAAACTTTGGATTTGATGGGAAAATCACCAGGGTAAGAGTCTTCAGTTATTACTACTGAAAGACATAGATATAAATACACATATATGTATATAAAACCTAAATTTTTATATCTAGATAAACAACAGCCCCTTCAAACTCTAAGAATTTAAGGTGCTTCTTCCCAGCAAGTACTGCCCCTTGCTACATGAAAGCTGAAAGATTCCCGATGAGAACATCAGAAATAAAATACTAGGCCTATTTCACTAAAGCAAATGGTTTCTCTCTTCCTATTCTTGCCTACTTCACTACATAACCAACCATCTGGTTGAACCAGATGATCTTTCGAGGTCCCTTCCAACCCGGGCTCTTCCACAAGTCTATGATTCTATAACTTGAAAAAAACATGTTTAATATTGGATCACACCTTGTTGCCTGAGATGCAATCTGCTCACATACCATTCAGTTTTCTTCCTGATAAAGGTGTATAATCATTGAGATTTGATAGTATCACAGTGTCCTATTATCATGCAAGCAGGGAAAAAAAGAAGTCAAAAGCCACTGGCTTATTTTGATTTTAAATAGAGGTTATTCAAGGACATACCACCTAGTCGTGGAATCAGATCCCTAAATCCAAAGAAGTTTTGCAGGTAACTGTGAGCAAAAGCCGTTTGACAAGAAACAGCCTTGCCTACTGAAAGATAAGCTTGGACAGACTGCAGCTTTATCGAGCTCGGATATTTGCTGCCAGGAGAGCATAAAAGCAAGGAAAGTTTAAATGACAGTGAGCTCTGCCACAACAGAAGCAGGACAGGACTTGGAAACAGTGTGAAGCGATTGCAGCACTGGCTGCTCCTCACTTCAGGGAGGAAAGCAGCAGGTAGCAGAGTCCCACACCGCCCCGCGGAGCAGCTCCTGCAAGAGGGCTCATCCCTGACACGCTGGGGAGCAGAGGACAAGGAAAGGGCTCAGAAGTGTACCTACCTTTTCTATGGCCTGGAAAATAATAAAATGAGAAGGCAAACGACCTTTTCTTCCAAGTTTACAGGAGGGACGGGGCAATTTGGACTTTACCAGAATGCCTTAGGCTAAGGATCGAAGATCTCAAATTATGGCATAACCACAGCATCACCACCAAAAATCAGCTGGTTTTGAGGTAACCTACCAGTGCCAGTCAAAGCACCATTTTCAGTAAAAGCATCAGCAGTTCTGAAATTACCTTCCTCAATCTGTCTCGCAGACCTCCAGTTTGAGATTCAGAAGACAGCACAAGATTCATATTCAGATTTTTCTTCAGTTTTAACTATACCCAAAGGCAACAGATGAGTTCGCACAGGGGCCTGTGATGCTATACTGAAGCTGACAGTCGTGCGGATAAAATGGTAATGATGATCCTTTGTGACTTGAAACACAAATTTGAATCCTGCCAAAAACTTGTAAGATAATTATTGTTGCCTTGATCAGAGTGGAGGCAAATACGCCAGAACATCTAGAAGAGTCACATACCAGAAAGTGTTTTTCAAATGCTAAACCCAACCAGAGCAGTTTGAGTGTTTTAACAAGAAACCATAAAAAGATTATTTTTCATTCCTGTCAGGACTCCAAGACTACAGCAACTCCTAAGCACCCCCACAACAGAACTTTTGTTCTGCACAAGGCATAGAGGAGATGCCTCAAGGAATTATGAGCAGACCACTCATTTGGCTATCTTGACATTCATGGTTGAATTCCCCTCAGTTTTAGCTTGTCCCAAGTCCTGGAGGGAAAGTAATGGTATTTAGAACAAGGACAGAGAAAAGCAGGGAATTTGATTGAAATGGTGGGATTGCTGTTGGAACCATGAACGTCACTCTGCTTCACAGGAAGCACGGATGGGACACCAGCGATCTTTCCACGACATTAAAGAACTAAGACCTCACCACGAGCAGCCCGAGGAAGCTCTGGGTATGCAGCATACTGACATCCCGCCTAGTGCAAAGACTTCAAACCTTATTAAATAAATACCCACAGCCACTTGCTTTGGATTCTGGAGTAAAGCTCTTTATCCCAGCAATGGAAGGCATATGGAATACATTACCATCAGAAGTTATAAAATACCAGCTCATTATGGGACATAAAAGTACTTGGGAAAAAACCCTCTCTGCAGCTATACGGCTGATTAAGTTGCAAGTACTTATTATTCCCCCCTGTTTGAAAAGTACAGCCAATAAAGTCTGCCTCTAAAGAACGATTTAAGACAT